ATTAATACAGAAAGGCAAAAAACTAGAACAGCCAAAACAATTCTGAAGAACAAAGGTGCAGCACTCCCACTAGCCCACTTTAAGACTTCCTATAAAAGCAAGAAAGCATGATACTGGTAAAAGATTAGACATAAAAATCAATGGAACAGAAAAGAGAGCCTAGAAATAGACCCATATAAACACTGTCTCTTGAAAAAAAAATTTTTTTTTTCATAAAAACACAAAAGCAATTCAATGGAGAAAGGATCACCTTTTTCAACAAAGGGTGCTGGAACCCTTGCACATCCATACACATAAAAAATGAACCTCAACACATACCCCACACTCTATACAAAAATTAACTAAAAATGGATCACAGACTTAAATGTGAAAACTAAAACTTTACAAATTCCAGAGAAAAAATTTTTTTAATTTGTGCACTTTTGTTTGGGCAATGAAATTTTAGATATGACACCAAAAGCAAAACTCATTTTAAAAAATTAAAATTCAGAAAATAAACTTTATCAAAATTAAAACATTTTGCTCTGTGAAAGTTGGTGTCATGGAAATGAAAACACAAACCAGAGACTGGGAGAAAATATTTTCAAATCACTTTTCTTATAAAGGATTTAAATCTAGAATAACAAAGAATTCTTAAAAATCCATGACAACAGATGGCCAAAAAGCACATGAAAAGATGCTCAACATCACTAATTACTAGAGAATACAAATCAAAACTGCAATGAGGTATCACCTCCCACCAGTCACAGAATGGCCATCATCAAAAAATCTATAAACAAACAACAACAACAACAAAATCTATAAACAATAAATGCTGGAGAAGATGTAGAGAAAAGGAAACCCTCCTACACTGTTGGTGGGAATGGAAATTGGTACAACCACTATGGAGAACAGTATGGAGATTCCTTAAAAAACTAAAAATAGAACTACCATGACCCAGCAATCCCACTCCTAGGCATATACCCACAGAAAACCACAATTTGAAAAGATACATGCACCCTAATGTTCACTGCAGCACTATTTACAATAGCCAGGATGTGGAAGCAACCTATGTGTCCATCAACAGAGGAATGGATAAAGAAGATGTGGTATCTCTATGACATAAATCACAGCAATATCCTTTTTGACCCACCCCCTAGAGTAATGGAAATAAGAACGAAAATAAACAAATGGGACCTAATGAAACTTAAAAGCTTTTGCACAGCAAAGGAAACCATAAACAAGACGAAAAGACAACCCTCAGAGTGGGAGAAAATATCTGCAAACAAAGCAACTGACAAAGGATTAGTCTCCAAAATATACAAGCAGCTCATGCAGCTCAATATCAAAAAAACAAACAACGCAATCCAAAAATGGGCAGAAGACCTAAATAGGCATTTCTCCAAAGAAGACATACAGCTTGCCATCAAACACATAAAAAGATGCTCAACATCACTAATCATTAGAGAAATGCAAATCAAAACCACAGTGATGTATCACCTCACACTGGTCAGAATGGCCATCATCAAAAAATCTACAAACAATAAATGCTCGAGAGGGTGTGGAGAAAAGGGAACCCTCTTGCACTGTTGGTGGGAATGTAAATTGATACAGCCACTATGGAGAACACTATGGAGGTTCCTTAAAAAACTGAAAACAGAACTACCATATGACCCAGCAATCCCACTACTGGGCATATACCCTGAGAAAACCATAATTCAAAAAGACATATGTACCACAATGTTCACTACAGCACTACGTACAAGAGCCAGGACATGGAAGCAACCTAAATATCTACTGACAGATGAATGGATAAAGAAGATGTGGCACATATATACAATGGAATATTACTTGGCCATAAAAAGGAACAAATTGAGTTATTTGCAGTGAGGTGGATGGACCTAGACACTGTTATACAGAGTGAAGTAAGTCAGAAAGAGAAAAACAAATACCGCATGCTAACGCACATATATGGAATCTCAAAAAATGGTATCGATGAAACTAGTGGCAGGGCAGGAATAAAGACGCAGACAGAGAATGGACTTGAGGACACAGCGGGGGTAAGGGGAAGCTGGGATGAAGTGAGAGAGTAGCACTGACATATATACACTACCAAATGTAAAATGGATGGCTAGTGGGAAGCTGCTACATAGCACAGGGAGATCAGCTCGATGTTTTGTGACGACCTAGATGGGTGGGATAGGGAGGGTGGGAGGGAGGCTCAAGAGGGAGGGGATATGGGGATATATGTAAACATATAGCTGATTCACTTTGTTATACAGCAGAAACTAACACCACATTGTAAAGCAATTATACTTCAATAATGATATTTTTTTAAAAAAAAGAATAAGAAAGCATGATTTTGTAGCCCCAAATCCTGAAGAGCCGTATGTAATATCTTAATGTCATGCCCATCAAACTCAGTAAGTTTGGCTTCTGCCCTCTCAAGACAAAATAAACAAGATAAAGAATTTTAAAAAACATTTTTTTTAATGATACGGTACATATATACAATGGAATATTACTCAGCCATAAAGAACAAAATAATGCCATTTGAAGCAACATGGATGGACCCAGAGATTGTCATACTCAGTGAAGTAAGAAAGACAAATATCATATGATATTGCTTATACGTGGAATCTAAAAAAATGGTACTAATGAACTTATCTACAAAACAGAGACAGAGTCACAGATGTAGAAAACAAAATTATGGTACCAGGGGATGGGAGGAAGGATAAACTGGGAGATTGGGATTGACATATACGCACTAGTATATATAAAATAGATAACTAATAAGAACCTACTGCACAGGGAACTCTACTTAATACTCTGTAGTGGCCCATATGTGAAAAGAATCTAAAAAAGAATGGAGGGACTTCCCTGGGGGTCCAGTGGTTAAGACTTCACCTTCTAATGCAGGGGGTGCGGATTCAATCCCCGGTTTGGGAGCTAAGATCCCACATGCCTAGGGCCAAAAAAAAAACCAAAACCTAAAACAGAAGCAATATTGTAACCAATTCAACAGACTTAAAAAAAAAATGGTCCACGTCAAAAAAAAAAATCTTAAAAAAAAATTAAATTAAAAAGAGTAGATATATGTATAACTGATTCACTTTGCTGTACACCTGAAACTAACACAACATTGTAAATCAACTATACGCCAATAAAATTTTTGTTTAATATTAAATTTTAAAAAAATCAATGACAAGAAAACAGATACTTCACCAAAGATATAGAAAGAATAAAACACATATAGAAATATACTCAATACCACTACCTAGCCATTAGGGAAATGCAACTTAAAACTACAGTGAAATATCACCTCACATCTATCAGAATGGCAAAATTTTTAACAACTTGACAATACCAACAACTGGTCAGGATGAGGAACAGAGACGCTCATTCACTGCAAGTGGGAATGCAAAACTGCAAGGCACTCTGGAAGATAGTCTCTTACAAAGCTAAACATAGAATCGCCATACAATCCAGCAATCATGCTCCTAGGTATTTACCCAACTGATATGAAAACTCATGTCCACACAAAAACACACATGTGAGTGTTGACAGCATTCATAATCACCAAAAACTGGAAGCATCCAGATATCAAGACTTATTATAAATCAAGACAGTGTGAAACTGGCATAAGGATGGAAAAGTAGGCCAATGGAACAGAATAAAGAGTTGTGAAACCAAACTATATTTATGGACGCCTGATATATGACAAGGTGGCACCGCAGAGCCATAGGTAGAGGTCAATCACTTCAGTGGCACTGGGGCAATTAGGCAACTTGATGAAAAAAATAAAGCTTGACTCCTACTAACACTAAACATAAATATTAATTCTAGATGTATTGTGAATCTACATGTGAAAGGTAAATGTGAACAAAGAAAACTGTCTTCATGAGCTCTGGATAACAAAAAACGTTCTTAGATTGGACACAAAAAACACCACTAATAAAAGAAAAAATTTAGAAACTAAATTAAGTAAAAATTAGAAGTAGCTGTTCATCAAAAGGCAGCATTAATTAACAGAATGAAAAGGCAAGACAGGGGGAAAAAACCCAGCTTGTAAACAAACACTGAACAACAGTTAATGCTGTGCATACTGAAGTATTTAGAGGGAAGCATGCTGATGTCTAAAATATATTAAGAAATACAGCAAAAATAAGATGGGGTAAGAGATGCAGAGGGATGGAAAGATGGATAATGTGATAAAGCAAGTACAGTAAAATGTTAAAGGTAAATTCAAGGTGATGAGTATACAGATGTTCACTGCAAAATCCTTTCGATTTTGCCCTGCGTTTGAAAACTGTCATAACAAAATATTGGAGGTGAGAGAAGCACCCCAGGTAAATATGGATTTGGTATCAAGTTTGCTTTAAACTTCAATGTGCATGAATCACTGAATTTTGTTAAGATGAAAAGTCTTGATATATAACAGGACTGAGGTGTGGCCTGAAACACATTTCTGGCACGCTTCCAGGAAATAAATAACTCCTTTCTGTCAATAAGAAACAGACAGAAAACACCCACAAAAGGTAACAAAATGTCCAAAAAGCATGCTAGCAGGAAATGCAAAGTAAGCCCATACAGAGACACCACCATACCTGAATGGCTCAAATAAAAAGAACAACAGTAATTAAGAGCTGGCAGAGAACGTGAGGCAAGTGGACACCAAGACACTGCTGACGGCCATACAAGAGGATGGTGCTTAACGAAAAATATAAGCAATACAGCAGGATACACATGCGTATACGCCACCAACATAAATTAAAAATGCATTCACACCAGAAACAATACATAGTTTGTAAACACATTTAAACAGAACAATATCCATTAAAAAAAATTGGGGGGGGGTGTGTGTGGAAAAGGAGCTGAAAATTGAGTCTGGGGAAACCAGGAAACAGGGACCTCAGGGACCTTACACGACCTCCCACCTGAGGACCTCCATCCCTCTCCCCACCAAAAAAATGAAAAAGAAATAAAGAAAAGAAGTGGAAATGAACAAACCAATAACTCACCCAGGTCTTCTTCGCTTTCGGCTGCTCCTGGGAAATAAACAGCCACTCTAGGACCTGCTCTGTCCCGGGACTCTTGTGTCTCTGCCGGGGTCCTCCAGGGAGAGGCCTCTGGTCAGGGGTTTCTTGACCCAGGATGGATTTCTCCCCCTGGAGCTTTCTGGTGCCATCGCATGTGCTCTCTTGCTCCTGGAGAGGTGGGACCTGCAGACACAAGAGCAAGCTCACTTTTGCGAGCACTTTTCCTCTGGGCCCCAACCTCGGTCTCCTTTGCTGGTGAACGTGCTCACCCAGGCTGGACTGGGGGCTCTGCGGACTGTGGTCAGGGCGGCTTGGGGGACACAAGTGAGAGGAAACAAAGTGGGGAACCCAGCACACAACCACAGCCCCCCGCCCCGCCCAGACTCTGCACAGGCCCCCAGGATCCCCGAAAGTGCGGTAACCACCCAGAGATTTAAACAACTCCGGGCAGACACTCAAGAAGAACATGACACCAGATGGTAAGGAGGGAACGACCCTGCTGGAGGCGACGTACACGAGAAATGGGCTGTGGACAAAACAGTCTGTCTCAGTAGAGCTTCTTCTCTCAATATCTGGATGTCCGTGAACAATTCACTTCATCTCTCTCGCTGAGTCTTACTTTTGTTGTTAAACATTGAGAGTAGGATGAGATCAGGGGAACAGTGTAGTCTTTTAATCTCCAAATAAAAACAAAAGTGGCCTACCAGAATAGCAAAAGAAGAAGCCCAGAGATGTCCACAGACAGACAAATGGACCCAGGTGACAGGGTTCCTCACAAACCCAGGATCCAGGCAGATGTGACCTAACTGCAGAACTGGGACGGGGGACCGGGGGCCACATGCTGCCGATCTCCAAAGTCACCCCCAACAGGAGAGCACCTCCCGAGGGGAATCTGAGCCTCTCAGGCTCAGAGTTGCAGGTGACTAAAAAAGACATTCCCAAAGTCGCTAAGTGACCTAACAGCACTGTGGTCACCTAGGAACACGAGGGTCTGAGAAATAACGGGCAAACCGCCCCTTCTACAAGGACGGGTCTTCACTGCGAGGGGAAGCTGCTGGAAATGGCGCCCAAATTGATCAGCACAAGAAGTGAGAAAACAAAGATTCAGGCAAAGAGAGGGACAAGAGAAAAGAGATTCTGAGAATGAGAGGGGAAGGAGAGAAAAGGGAAGAGAGAAAGGCACTCGGCAGTCAGGGGGAAGGGTCCCGAGGATGCTCATTCCAGAAGCTATTATAACAACAAAATACAAGGGGTAAAACTGAGAGAAACATGTTAGGATACAGGCATGCTGAGCTCTAGGAAACACAGGGCTAGAGGCAGAAGAAAGGCTTCCTGACAAGGCTTAGCGTTGAGTCGGGTCAGGTATGTGTGTGTGTGTGTTTGCTTGTATTTCCAAAAGAATCACTGAGAGGATGAACTAGGAACTGTAAAATGGTTCCCTCCGGGGGCGGGAAGGGACAGAGCAGGAGGGACGGAGGCTTGTCTGAATGACGCTACACACTTTCTACTTTGAATCACGTAAATATTTCACATGATCTAAAAGAGGAGGGAGGGCAATCCCTAACATTGAAAATAAATGTCAACAGATACATTTATTTATACAATTGGAAACAAAACTACAACAGACAATCATTTTACCAACTGACTTAACATGCGGTATTTAACTGTGCATTCTTTGGATAAAATGGGCTACAAAGACAGACTGAACCTCATTTAGCACCCTTGTTAATGGTAACAAATTGTTATTTTAAAACCGTCTTATGTATGCTATAGGACATGACAGTTATATCACTCTTTTTAAGAACAAAGGTATCTAGCACGTGACAAAAAGTTGCAAGAGTAAAGCTTTTAACCCTCATGCAGAGCTGGTGGGAATGTAAAGTGGAGCAGCCACTTGGGACCCAGCTTGGCAGCTCCTCAGTGTTAAACCCAGAATTACTGTATTAGCCGGCGATCCCATTCTTATCTATCCACTCAACAGAATTAAAAGCCTACATCCACAGAAACGCTTGCACACAAATGGCTCTAACAGCCTGATTCCTAATAGCCAAATACCCATCAATGGATGAAGGGATAAATCATATGTGATCTATACATACAAAGGCACGTTATTTAGCCATAAGAAAGAATGAAGCACCGAAAAATGCTACATGATGAACTTTTGTACTATAGGTACCTGACAATTAGCTTTTGTTGACTGTAATGCAAGTGCCTGATCGTACTGAAAGCTTCTGATTTCTGAGGCACCACTTCAAAGTCATCCGTCTTAGATAAATGCACTGCCAGCCACACAGCTAGATAAGGAGACAGGCCGCCCCACCTGACGTTCTCCTCCCAGAAAGCCCTGGGTGACCTAGATAACTGCTCACTTGAGTGACCCCGCTCTTCCCTTCCAGTGCCTGAATTCTCAGCCTTATTTTAAATTCACCAATAAATAATGAACGTGCAACCCCCCCTTGACCCCAATAATAAAGGCAGAACCTCACCCCCCCTTGACCCCAGTAAAGGCAGAACCCCAGGTCCGCATTCTCGTCCTCTCCTTCTCTCTGCTGTGTGGCCCCCGGTGTGCCACGTACCCCGCAGGGTCTGTGAGTAGTAAACCTTATGTTTTCAGAGTTCCCCGATAGTTGCTGATGAGAGGCGCCTTGCAGTCACAGTAAGAACCACAAGGGCTGGTCCAGCCGTGACGCTGGCTCCAGTCAGAGAAATGTCTGTGGGGCTGCCACAAGCAGCACGGGTCCCGGCGAGCCCCACCCCAGGCGCTCTGTGTCACAGCATCATTCCTGCCAGGCTGAGACCAACACAAAACTACCTTGAAAACACTACGCTAAATGAAAGAAGCCAGATACACAGGGCCACCTCTGACATGATTCTGTTTATATAAATGTCTAGGATAGGGAAATTCTTGAACACCCCAAGTAGATTAAATGGCTGTCAGGGGATAGGGGAAGGAGGGGATGGAGAGTGGCTTGTGAATGGGGACAGGGTTTCTTCTGGAAGTAATGATAATGTTCCGAAATTGGATACGGTGATATTTAGGCAACACTGTGAATACTAAAAATGACTGAAGGTACACCTTAAAAGGGTAAATTTTATGGTATATAAATTATACCTCAATAATGCTTCTATATAGAGTAATTTTTTTAACTTCAATGATTTTTAATAAATTGAAAGTTCTGCAACAGTCCACACATCCAGGTTTACAGCGTTCCTACCGCCTCAGACAGATTCCTCTGGAGCCGAGGCCCACGCTCACCCCCGACCCCCAGACAACCACTGCTCTGCTCCTGTGCACAGATCTGCCTGTTCCAGACATTTCACACGACTGAGACCACACTAGGTACTGCGTCTGGCTTCTTCCGCTCAGCACAACACTCTGGAGGTTTATTCTTGTTACAGCACACACCAGCGGTTTGCCCCTTAATTGCTGAATAGTGTTCCATTTCGTCTATACGTTCACCACTTAATCCACATTTAGATTCTTTTTAGTTTTGAGCTACTATACAAGTCTTTGTGTGAACATGTCTTCCTTTATCTTGGGTAAATTCCTAGAAGTAAAACTGCTGCTCTGTACAGTAAGTTTACATCTAACCCTTTAAAGAAACTGCCGAAACCTTTACAAGGTGACTGTACTTTATACTCCCACCAGCAGTCTACAGTGGTTCCAATTTCTCTACATCCTTGTCAACACTTACTGTCTGCCTTTTTGGTTATAGCCATTGGTTATAAAGTGGGACTTCGTTATGATATGAATTTTATTTCCCTAGTGACTCATGATGTTAAACATCTTTTCCGGTGCTTACTTGCCATCTATACATCTTCTTTGGTGAAGTGTCTGTTCAAATCCTTTGCCCATGTTTTTGTAATTTTTTTTTTTTTTTTTTTTTTTTTTGCGGTACGCGGGCCTCTCACTGCTGTGGCCCCTCCCGCTGCGGAGCACAGGCTCCGGACGCACAGGCTCAGCAGCCATGGCTCACGGGCCCAGCCACTCCGCGGCATGTGGGATCCTCCCGGACCGGGGCACGAACGCGTGTCCCCTGCATCGGCAGGCGGACTCGCAACCACTGCGCCACCAGGGAAGCCCCTTTGCCCATGTTTTAAATTGGGTTGTCTGTCTTCTTACTGAGTTGTAAGCATTCTTCATATATTCTGAATATATCCCTGTTATCAGGTACATGATTTGCAAATACTATCTCCCGGACTTTAAATACTTGAAGTCCCGGTCTGGGACTGTGTTTTCATTTTCTGAATGGTGACTTCGAAGTTCAAAAGTTTTAATCTTGATGTGGCCCAATTTCTATCTCAAAAAGCACAACCTATGAAAGAGCTTTCTAAGAACTTTAGCCTAAGAGAAGGTCATGAATATTTTCCTCTATGATTTCTTCCAGAAATTTTATAGCTTTTGCTCTTAAAGTCTATGTTCCATTTTGAGGTAATCTTTTGGTATTGGGTGAGGTAAGAGTCACAGCTTATCTTAGAAAATTTTTCCTTGTGATAACATAAAATACGTAACATAAACTTAGTATCTTAACCATTTTAAAGTTTACAGTTCATTGGAATTCAGTACCTTCGCAGTGCTGTGTAACCATTCCCAGCAGTCACATTCATCTCCAGAACTCTTCATCTTGCAGAACTGAAACTCTACATCCTCTGAGCAGTAACTTCCCATCCTCCTCCTACCACGACTCCCTGACAACCAGCATGGACCACACTTTCTATGATCTTGACTACTCTAGGAACGGAAACCATGTTCCACAGGGTTAGCAGACAGTGTTGACTAACAGGAATTCTCGAGCTCGTCTTACAGAGCAGCAGCCCAGGAACAGCCTGGTAAACCCCCGCCTGAACCCGCCCTCAGTGACCAAGCTTTGCCTGAGTTACTAACTGTCCCCTATAGGTTACACCTCGGACGTATGGGTCACTATATCAATGGGCACTTAAGCTGTTTTCCAGAAACCTAGAGTCAGCTCTTGTCCAGTTCAAGGCAGCCAAGACCGGTTGGGACCGCTGACCCTAAAAACTGGGCCTGCACACGTGTCTGATGAATGACCGCCTGATGTCAGAGGGCCAAAACCTCCACCCTCGGATCATGCTAAGTGTCTCCATTTTTGAACACATATCCCACGAAGAAGCATGTACCCTGATACGCCTGCACAGAACACTGATTACCTCACCTTTTCCCTACTTCCAATCACTTCCCCACACCTAAGACCTCCCTGCTTCTTTATCCCGTGAATATCTCAAGTCCCTCACCTGCGAGGAGACAGATCCGACATTTGTTCTCCCATCTCCTCACTTGGCTGTCTCGTGAATAAACTCTTTCTCTGCTACAAACTGCAGCGTCTCAGCATTTGGCTTGCTGCGTGTTGGGTGAACAAACCTGGTTCAGTAACAGAACCTCACGTAAGTAGAATCTTACAGTATTTTTCCTTTTGTGACTGGCTTATTTCACTGAAAATAATGTCCTCAAGGTTCACCCATGTTGTAGCATGTGTCAGAATTCATTTCTTTTTAAGATTGAATATATACATACACACCCACACCCCATTTTGTTTATCCATTCATCTCTTAGTGAACAACTGGGTTACTTCCACCCAAAAAAGAGTAATTTCAAAAAAATCTTTTAAACTCTGTAATTTGAATTGGAAATATCAACATGAATAATAAACTTTTTTCCTTTCCGAAGATCCCTAGGTCTGCCTGCTGAAACAGCCCAGAAGTAATGACATCCCAGTATCAACTGTGGTCCCTGAGCACACTCCCTACGAAAAGATACAGGCTCCTGGAGAAAAGGCTGATTCCAGATCTGGGACGGGAAATACTCAAATGAGCAGAGACTATCTTCTTGGGCCCTGAAGCAAGGAAGCCAGGAAGCCAGCTAAGACTAACAGAGTCTTTCCAAAAAGCCTCAGAGCCAAGCTGAAAGGCTCCCTTTGGCTAAGGCTGGGACAATGAAACCCTCTAAAAGAATACTGACTGCAAATGATTGAAACTAACTGTAAACAGTATTAAGATTTACGAGTTTTTTAATCATACTCAAATTAGCAAAAAGAAAAAAAATCAAATGAAAACTCACTGCTGTCACCAGTGGATGTAACTAGGGCATCATCTCCTTAGTGAAAACTGGCAATTAAAGAGAAAGAGTTAAGCATGGACCTGCCATCCCTAAACAAATTGTGTCTCTGGGTAACCAAATGGTTCTGTTGATGAAGAAATGTTCTTTTTTAGAGAAGGATTCTGTAAATTCTTTCAGAGAATTCCTGCTACAAAAATGGAAAGAATGATAGGGTTAGAAAGTCACCACTTTGTAGATGCTGTGAAATAACTGGCCGAGGGGAAGGTCATAATTGATGAAACCATTAGAAGGACTGATGGGAAACTTCACAACAATACCACACTGCCACCCCTGACCCCACCAATCGATCTTTGCATCACCTAGAGCGAGTCAATGAGACATACGTGCCTCCTGAGGTGACAAGACAAAGCACTATCAAGTATTCTTGCCAAAAACATTAATAAATCAATCTAAAGTCTCTAAAGATAAATTTCAGTTTACCAGAAATACTGGTGACAGAAAACATGTTAAATGTGACCACAAGGAAACAGAGATAAATCTAAAATGAAGGACATTCTAAAGGACAAATGGCTCCACATCTTTAAAAAGTCAATGGGGGAAAAAAAAGAAAGAAGGATGGGTTACTCTGGATTAAAAGAGACTTAAAGTATGTAACAGTAAGAAATGTGTACCTTGTTTGGATTTTGATTTTAACTTGCCAATGTTAAAAAGGAAAATGAAATCTGAACATGGAATAATTCCATGATACCAAAGAATTATTCTGTTAGGTGTAATAGTGGTATTATAATTATATTAGAAAATGTATGTTTTTAATGCCTAGTGATGTACGGATGAAATAACATGAGAACTGAATCTGCTTCAAAATACTTCAGAGTATTTTGGAGTAAGGTACCTTTATCCTACGCCTTAAATTTTTCCTTTGAAGAATTTTTCAAGAACAGTGACCACCACACAAGAAAATAAAGCTTTCAGAAAACAAGACAACATGAACAAGAACCAATGAAAAACAACAGAAAGAAAACCTTGTAGCCAACAGACAGTGCAATTGATGGACACTCATTATAAATCAAATATTATATTCAAGGAGAGAAAGGCAAGCCTTATGACTTGCCAAGGACTTGGACAAATAACTTAGCAAGCATATTTGAAAAAGAACTAGAAAGAATTTATAGGAATGATAAAAACACATCAACTGAAGTCTCTTTAACAGCAGGTTAGGAAGAATTAGTAAACGAAAGGACAAACCGGAAGAAATTATCTAGAAAGTAGTATGGAGAGACAGATGGGCAAGAGAGGAGAGCAGTGACACACAGACTGAGAAGGTCTATCATAAGCTGCACTGGAGTCTAAAAGGAAACAACAGAGCACATTTAAAAATGGGGGGTGGGGCACAGCTTTCCGACAGCAGGCAGGTATCTAATGAACATAGAAAGAATAATGAAATTAGATAAAACTCATTTGTCAACTAGCAAAATAAAAACGCACACAAGAATCACCCATGCAGTCTAAATGAGTGGGTGAAAGTTTGAGGACTAAAAGGTATTTATTTCATCTCAGTATCTCCCAACAGATACTGACTTACAAAGGGAAGAGAGAGTGACTACAGGGGAGAGAACACAGACACCACCTTCACCAAGTGAGGCAAGTTCACATCAGCAGCCACGAGTGCCCCGGATGTGATGCGGGGAAGAATGCAGCACTTCTGAAATGAATCAGGAGGAGGAGCAAACAACCGGAAACTGAGGAATATTCCACAGAACGCCCTGGGCTCCGAAAACACCACGTCATGACAAAGAAGACTGAGGAACTGTTCCGGGTTAGATGAAAGAGCCAGCACAGCCCATCGCAACACATGATTCAAGTTACTCTTCTCGCATAAAGGACGGTATTTCCAAACTTTCTATAAAGGAACAATTGGCAAAATCACAATAAGACCTGTAAATGAAATAACAGCATTGTATTGATGTCAATTTCCTGATTCAGTGGTTATGTAAAAAACTGTTCTTGTTTGTGAGATGTACTGCAGTATTTAGGGGTAAAGGAACATCATGTCTGCAAATTGGTTTCAGTTAAGGAAAAAAAATGTGTATGGAGAGAGAAAGAGGAGAGGAGCTGGGAACAGAGAGTGAGAGAGAAACTGATAAAGCAAGTGCAGCAAAATATTACTATTTGAGGAATCTGGATGAAGGTATAGAAGAACTTTTGTATTATTCCTGCAACTTTTTTAAGATCTAAAATTATGTCAAAATAAGTGAAATTTAAAAAATTTACAGCATAAATAATGTGTATAATGCCCAAACATCTTTACAGAAAGAAAAAGAATAAAAATTATCCGTCCAAAAAAAGCCAAGAGAGGAGAAAAAAAAAAAACAGATCAGTTACAGCAAACACAGTATAGAAAAACACAGTAAGATGGTAGATATAAACTCAAATATAACAGTAATTACGTCAATCATAACAGACCAAGTGTCTGAGTTAAGTACAAAGACTGACAGACTGATTTTAAAAAATGATGCTATTTAAAAAAACACATCTAAAAGATAAAGATACAAAAAAGTCAAAAGTTAAAGAAAAATATACGACAAGCAATTAACCAAAAGGAGGCTCCTACAGCTATAAGAATACAAAACAGACTCTGAGACAAAAAAAGGATTCCTGGACATAAGGTGACTCCACAATCATCAAAGGCTCGAGTCACAAGGACAATGTAGTTTTCAGCTTGTCTGGAAGGGGTGAGCAGCCTGCTCCAAGTCAGCCAAGCGGGTGACAGGCCGCCACGTTACCTGACACCCCTCCCCCCCAGACCCTACAGCTGAGTGCTGAGCCAGCTCCAGAGGGCTGATGGCGGCCGGCCACTCCCGGCCCACTGCTGGCAGCACACAGGGGCTCCCTCTGCCCGCAGCCTCCTTCTCCCTCGCCTTCACACGGCTGATTCCACAGGTCCTTTGAGAGCAGCTGCCAAGGTCACTTCCTGGGCTTCCCTCTGCCCCAGCGCGAATCCCGTGGCCACCCGGCCTGCCCTCTGTGCCCTCTCTCAACTCCCAGGGCTGCCTTTGACCCGTGTATCCTCCGTGCCTAACCGGTACCTGGAATATATAAACAAGGGTGCGCGAGGGTTGTTAGTTTTGAAAGACTAATTCATGAACACTGCCACATTTTAACAGGAAATTATCGGGGCTTCCTTGGTAGTGCCGTGGTTAAGAATCTGCCTGCCAGTGCAGGGGACACGGGTTCAATCCCTGGTCTGGGAGTATCCCACATGCCGCGGAGCAACTAAGCCCGTGCGCCACAACTACTGAGCCCACGAGCCACAACTACTGAAGCCCGCAGCCTAGAGCCCATGCTCTGCAACGAGAAGCCACCGCAGTGAGAAGCCCGCGCACCTCAACGAAGAGTAGCCCCCGCTCGCCACAACTAGAGAAAGCCCGCGCGCAGCAACGAAGACCCAACACAGCCAAAAATAAATAAATAAAATAAATAAAACTTTATATAAAAAAAAACAGGGAATTATCATTTTAACCTTTAATTCGCCAAGAGGGTCAGTCTGGGCGCAGCTGAAGACACCCAGCCTGGTATGCACGGGGGCACGGGCCAACCTTCCTCAGAAAGGCCCCGTCAGGCAGAATTCCCTTCTCTCTCCCACACCCCCTTGCATCAGTCTTGAAGCCCCAACTCACTGCACTGCAAACTATGCTATTAGCATGTCGTGGTGGTGACCGTGGTGACGGTGTTTGGCAGTGGTCCATGGGAGCAGAGGCCCTGCCCAACGCTGGAGAAAAAGGGAAACAAGGTTCCCTGGTTTAAAATAAGTCAACTAGGGCTTCCCTGGTGGCGCAGTGGTTGAGAATCTGCCTGCCAATTCAGGGGACACGGGTTCGAGCCCTGGTCTGGGAAGATCTCACATGCTGCGGAGCGACTGGGCCCGTGAGCCACAACTACTGAGCCTGCGCGTCTGTGCTCTGCAACAAGAGAGGCCGCGACAGTGAGAGGCCCGCGCACCGCGATGAAGAGTGGCCCCCGCTTGCCACAACTAGAGAAAGCCCATGCACAGAAACGAAGACCCAACACAGCCATAAATAAATAAATTATAAATAAATAAATAAATAAAATAAGTCAACTCTTCCAGGAGAGGAGGACACAGAAAATCTTTCCAAGCCCCTAGGAATGGAGACTCCCTGAAGTGAATTTGTAATGACACATTTAAGGGAGGGAAGTGTCAACAGCAGAAAGTAGCCAAAATGAAAAAAGAAAACCTGCCAGTAAGTGCCCAGCATCCTCCGAGGAAAGAAACAGAGACTTAGGGGCTCACAGGCCTCAGTGCAACGTACGTCACCGCCGAGGACCACCTCCCTCTGCTCTGAATTCACACTCGTCTACAGCCTTCTAATTACTAGTTATCACCCTGGATACCCAGGAGGGGACACCCAGAATATGGGTCGAGGATGTCACCGGCCACAGGAAAGGGACCCCTATGTTGCACAGTTTTAAAATGTCTTGCATGTGATATCCTTTCCGCTTTCAGCGCATCCCTGAGTGGGGTCATCCACATCTCTCATTCCCCAGGGACTGGGCCACACACACCCACTGCGACCAGGGCACGGCAAGGGACTTAACTACTCTTGAGTCCAAGGAGCAGCTGATCAGTGACCCATTGTGGGTAAACAATAACTACTCCTAGGGCCCAGGAGGCTAGAATCTCTGTCTCTTGAGAAATTCTCAGGCTATACCCTGAGGCAGTAGAGTACACTGGCCAGGGAAATGGGTGTAGGGCCATCCCACGCAGGTTCAAATCCTGGCTCTACACAAACCAGCAGTGTAACCTGGTCCCAAGAAGAGGTACTGATGAATGCCTGCACCAGATGCAGCACAGAGCCCCACGCACAGTGAGCGCTGAGCATTCACACTGGGCTGGAATGGTAAGAAATACACGACTACTTACACAAGATAAACCACTCTAAAAAGTGACAACGGACTAGGTGAAAAGCATAAGCTGGTTGTCAGAAAAGAGGACTCATGTTTCAAACATCTCCGTTTCCACTGCTCCAGGCAACACCTCCTCCGCCTCTCGTCTGCACCCCTGCAGTCGACCATTCTCCACTGAGCAGCCAGAGGGGCTCTGAAAAGCCCAACCCCCTTTCCTAACACAACAGCTTCCCAGCCTGATCGGGCCTCTGGCCCCCTCCGTGTCTGTCTGCTCCTCTCCCCTCCCAGCCAACCCGGGCCACACAGGCCTTCCTTCCCTGCTACAAAGGCACGGACCCTCCCCCACCTCGGGTCCTTGGCGATGGCTGTTCCCACCCTGCATGTTCATGCACCTGCTCTTCCCAAGTCTGGCTACTCTGGTAACTCACACCTGCAAACGTCACCTCCTCCATGGGACCTTCCCCAAACACCCAATCTTTCACATCAACCAATGTTAATTCCATGTACAACACGACAACGACGTTTCCTGTTCACTTGTAAGTAGTTTCTCCATCATTTACATGGCATCTGCCTTCCTCCACCAGAGTGCAAACTCCCCAAAGCATGGATCCTGTCAATCTCATTCACCACCACATGCCTGGACCTGGAAGGGGGCCTGGCACAGAGTGGGTGCTCAATAAATACCTGGAGACTGGAAACATGATGAACACTTCAAAGACCAAAGCCTGGGATTTGTATCTATCAGTTCACTCTTTCGCCCGAGACGGTACATGTTGCCCTGTTAAGAACTCAGAGCAGGGAGGGCTTCCCTGGTGGCGCAGTGGTTAAGAATCTGCCTGCCAATGCAGGGGACACGGGTTCCAGCCCTGGGCCAGGAAGATCCCACGTGCCGAGGAGCAACTAAGCCCGTGTGCCACAACTACTGAGCCTGCGCTCTAGAGCCCTCAAGCCACAACTACTGAGCCCGTGTGCCACAAGTACTGAGCCAGAGCTCTAGAGCCCATGAGGCACAACTACTGAGCCCACGTACCACAACTATTGAAGCCCGCACGCCTAGAGCCCGTGCACCGCCACGAAGAGTAGCCCCCCCTCACCACAACTAGAGAAAGCCCATGTGCAGCAACAAAGACCCAACGCAGCCATTCTGGGTTTGAATTCTGTCTTCTGCTGAATGATCCTGGCAGACTGCCTGCCTCTCTTTGTCACCTTTCCTTGTCTTTAAATGGGGCTAAGAGTCCTACCTTCCTATGAGGCTGCTGTGAGGATCAGTTTGTATCTGTAAAGTGCTGAGACCCATGGCTAGGAAGAGGAGACACTGTAGAAATGTTAACTAGTATTACTGAAGGTGTAAAGTTTTCCTTATACAAGTCCTCTGCATTGCTCAGGTTTTTAGTACTTTCACCTGCTTTACTGCCATTTGTAAATAGGCTAATTTCCCTCATTATAACTTCTAAACAGATACAATTTATAAACAGGAAACGCACTGACTTTTAGACTCATTTGGTACCAAGGAATCTTCCTGGATTCTCCTCAGGCTACCACTCTCTTCCCGCAACCACAGGGCACACTGACTCAGCCCACATGGCTGGCTTCCTGCCTCACTCCCATATCTGCGACGGACCGCTGCTCCCTCTACCCCACTCCTTCCTCTCCTGCCCAGCAAACACCTACTCACACTCTGCTCTGGAAACATCACAGCAAAACCCACCACTACCATCACCACCAAGTCCGATTTGGACTTCTGTGACGCAACAGTACTTGACCTCCCTGGGGCATCTCACATGGCAACCATTTTTGAGGTTTCTTTTTCTTTGACTCTGACACACAAGTCTCTCCATTTCTCTCATTCCTATGGGGCTGCCCAACCTCCAGCCCCTCCTCCGCCTCCTTCCCTTGCCCACCCCCGAGCACTGCCCTCGGTGCTCTTCCCAGGGCACATGTGCTCCTTGAGCTAATCTGGCTATACCCACTCAGTGATACCTGTCCAGACCATTCTCTCGAGACAGATGCCTACCCATGTGCCCACCAGCACCCGCAGGGTCCCACCGTATCTGAAGGAAATGTCCACCCAGCCCTCCGTAACAACTCTGACGGTCTTCCCTAACTCAGGTAATGGTACCACTCCCAACCCAGGCCCACAGGGGCAGACCTCCAGCACTTATGCCTGGCTCTGCTGGCTTGCTCACCACCAGCACCCAACTAGTTACCAAGTCCAGTTGCTTCTGACCCTTTATTCTCCCTAGAGGATAAAATCCAAGTGTTTTTTTTTTTTTTTGGCCGTGCCGTGCAGCTTGCGGGATTTAAGTTCCCCGACCAGGGATTGAACCCGGGGCCATGGCAGTGAAAGCACCGAGTCCTAACCACTGGACAACCAGGGAAGTCCCCAAATCCAAGTTTTTCATGTGATCCTCAAAGCCCTCTACGATCCAATCTCTGCCTATGGCTCTGGCCTCATTTTTTAATACACACTCCACCACCACCGTCACCTACAAAACCATAAACTCTACATTTCAGCAACTGTAAAGTGTTCCAAGGTCACCAACATACTACATCACTTTAAGCCTCTCAAATTTGCACATTGCTTCCTTTTCCTAGGCTGACCTTCAGTCCCTTGTTCACCTCATTCACCTTTCAAATCTCAGTTTAAGACTCCCTTATTAATCCCTAAAGCATTTCTTGGGGTGTCGTTACTTCCAAAACGGGCCCTGTGCTGTGTGTCTCCATACACTTCCACGGCCCACTCTCGGAGGACCCCTAACGTGCCATTGTGCTCATACATTTTCTTGCCCACAATTCCCACCAGACCATGGCTCTTCCAAAGCAGGAACGACCTACCTTCGCACCTTTAGCACCTGCCCCAGGGTGCTCAACAAAAGACAATAAACAAAACTGTTGAATAACCGAAGGGACAAATGCATAACTTCCCAAATGAGGCCCCAAAATCTTAAGACACGGAAAGAAAAAACTAAGAAAATGTGTCGAAGAAATTGGAAAATGCATCATGACCCCTCGTTTAACTCAAGGCTCAAGGTACAGAATTGGCAGAAAAGAGACTGAAAGAAGGAGTAAAGTAACAGTCTGACGACAAGAAGCACTTCCGGACGGCTCAACGTCATCTTAAAGGAGGCGCAGTGGCTTGGAAGCCCCACGCAAGCTCCAACCCTGGAAAAGATGGATGAGCACACGTCGGTGTTCAGGGCGCTTTTCATAAACGAGAGAAAACCCCCCGACTCACCCAGACGGCAGCCGTCCGGACCCTGGTGGCCATCCTCACGGCCAGTTTTGTGCGCCCTGAGGGGGGTGGCAGGACCCGACGGCTGCGCGAGAAGAGAACCGTGAGGGAACCAGTCTCCCCGCCACTCCCACGCCCACGCGGGACCCGCCCCTCCCTTCCCACGACCGGGCCTCCTTCCCTCACGCAGCGGCGGGGCTCCCCAGCTCCGCCCCCACCTACACACACGCGATCGGCTCAGGGCAGGCGCGGGGGAGGCCAGACTAGTTTGCACGGTCCCGCCGCCCTGACACGGGAGGGACTCGGCGCGCGCGGCTCCCCCAAGCCCTGAATCGGCAGCGGGAGATGCGGGGGAGACCGGCTCCGCAGCCGACCTCCCGGATCTGCAGCCAGAGCCGCTCAATCCTCGCTCTCGACTGTGCGGCGCCCGCTCTGGGTGCTTCGGCGACGGCCCTCGGGCAGACGAGGTCGGCACGCTCCAGCTCAGGTCCCCACTACGGGCAGGGGACGCAAACCACCCACCACGACTCTCCCGGCTGGTGCCGAGCCGACGGCGGCCGCTAGGGACGCACAGGAAATGCGTCAGGGCAACCCGAGGGCAGGACGAACTACAACTCCCGGAAGCCTCTGCGGGCGTTCCTCCTGCGCGGGGCGGCTCCAGCCGAGGGCCGCCGGGAGGGAGCGCTGCGGCCGCGAAGCGCAGGCCCTTCCCGCCCCACCTCTGGGCGCGGGCGCGCAGGCTTTCAGTGATACAGAGGATTAAAATAATTGACAGCAATAGCGCAAAGGCTGGAGGCGTATAAATTCAGTTAAAAGTGTTCTAAGGTTCCTGCTTTTCCAAATGGTAAAAGTCCTAATTTATAATTTAATAACGCAAAGATTCGTTCCGTTGTATAAGTGACATTTATTTTCCAGGAAAATTAGGAGTGGCATTGTCTTCCTTTGGGGATGGGGGTGGGGGAATCCTTTAAATGTCTGGCTTAATATAAAACAGCTGCGGTCTCATATGTGCTTCTGCATTCACTCTGTTGCATGTGTTTCTTATGTGTAAGTATCAATATATAAAAAAATCTGGCCTCACATAGGTATGTATCAATAGTTGGAAAAGGACAGGGTATTTTAATGTACTTAGATAACTGCATATTCTTTGCAGTAAAAGCTGAACAAGGAATAGGTCAGTTTCAGTGTATGATCTGAAACCAGAGAGGTGAGCTTTTTCTACTCTATTATATTAAAACCCATTGGTCTGTCTTGAACTTTGAATGCATAGTTTTATCAGGCATGATTTTGTAACAACATGCATTGGTCATTTGGAAAATATTTGTTCACTGACTAATGCAGATCTTCCAAACACTGACACCTCTCCTTATACAACATGAAAGCTCGTATTCATCAATATCATTATTGATCTTAAGTACTGGGAATCTGTGAAGTTCACAGTGGCAGATACAAGATTCCAGAATTCTATTTGCACTTGAAAACTCTAGCTTTGTATTGGCAGACAATGCTGGCTGGCACTTGTTCCCCTTGTGTGACAGCTTACTTGGTTGGCAGTTGAGAATGTGTCTGCCTCACCCACGTCTGCCTCATATTTCAGTCCTGCTTTCACGCAAAGTTCAGCTCCCAACTCACATAATCACAGAAGTGCATTTTCTGGAGACAGATATGGAACTTCAGGATGCAGCACAGAATATTTGTTGCATAGATACTAAAAAGATATGGACTCAAGAGTTAAGATTTAATAAAGTTAGTTTTCACTGCTCCATCAAGGACATCCAGAAGCAAAATTGGTCCTTTTCTCTTCTTTTTTTAACTGTGAATGTGATGATGAAGAACATAATGACGACTAATAAATGTCTTTGATGCCACTTCCTGGATGCATGGGGAGTGCCCATAGTGGTACCCCTGTGGCTTTTGCACCATCAGAGCAAGTTCAACACAGTAGGCAACATCTTGAGTTTGGAATATCAGTACTCGCTGTAAACCTCTTTCAACTTTTCTGTATGTTTGAAAATTTTCATAATAAAATATTGGAGGAAAATATTGTGGAAGAGACAAACTTTTCAATAAATTGTGCAAGCCAAAAATAAATAAATAAATAAAAATTGTGCAGGAACAATGAGATAGCTATACAAGAATAGAAAAAAAACTGCTGTCTCACAATATATTTAAAATAAATTCTAAATAGATTAAATATGGGACTTCCCTGGTGGTGCAGTGGTTAAGAATCCTCCTGCCAATGCAGGGGACATGGGTTCGAGCCCTGGTCTAGGAAGATCCCACACACGGTGGAGCAACTAAGCCCGTGAGCCACAACTACTGAGCCCGTGTGCCACAACTACTGAAGCCTGAGCACCTAGAGCCCATGCTCCACAACAAGAGAAGCCACCGCAATGAGAAGTCCGCACACCACAACAGAGAACAGCCCCAGCTCCCCGCAGCTAGAGAAAGCCCTCATACACCAACAAAGACCCAACGCAGCCAAAAATAAAAATAAATAAATTTATTTTTAAAAAATAGATTAAATATTAAACGTGGAAAGGAAGGCTCTACAGGTTTTAGGTTGAAATGTAGAGTTAGCATCCTTTGCCCACTGATTTGTTAACCAATCCCTGTTATCTGCTAAGTTCTCATGTTGTGTTAGTTTTCTGTGCTGCTGTAACAAAACAAACTTGGTGGCTTAAAACCACACACATTTATTATCTTACAGTTCTGAAGGTCGAAGGTCCGACACAGGTCTTCCCGGGCTAAAGCAAAGCGTTGGCAGGGCTGCATGCCCTTCTGGAGGCTGCTGGGGAAAACCCTCTCCTTGCCTTTTCCAGACTTTAGAGGCCAAGAACATTTCTTGGCTCAGGCCCCCGTCTTCCACCTTCAGAACCAGCAACAGAGGGCTGAGTCCTCCTCGCGCTGCGTCGCTCTGGTCTCCTTTTCTGTCTCCCTCTTCCACCTTTAAGGACTTGTGTGATGACATTAGGCCCACACAACAATCCAGGATAATCTTTCTATTTTAAGATCTGCCGGTTGTTTTTCTTTCTTTTTTTGTTGTTTGGCTGCATTGGGTCTTTGTTGCTGCACGCGGGCTTTCACTAGCTGTGGTGAGCAGGGTCTACTCTTTGTTGCAGTGCGCGGGCTTCTCATTGCAGTGGCTTCTCTTGTTGCAGGGCACGGGCTCTAGGCACGTGGGCTTCAGTAGTTGTGGCACACGGGCTCAGTAGTTGTGGCATGCGGGCTCTAGAGCGCAGGCTCAGTAGTTGTGGCGCACGGGCTTAGTTGCTCCACGGCATGTGGGATCTTCCTGGACCAGGGCTCGAACCTGTGTTCCCTGCATTGGCAGGTGGATTCTTAGCCACTGAGCCACCAGGGAAGTCCCTGCTGGCTGTTTTTCAAATGAAGCTCTACCGTTTACTAGCTACATGATTTGGGGCAAATTACTTAAAATTTCCAAACTCTAGTGCCCTTAACTGTAGGGGAATAATATTATGCTCCTCATAGGGCTATAGACAGAGAAAAACCTAATGCATTAAGGGGCTTCACAGATTGGCTATCTCATATCAAGCTGTCTATGATGAAGATGCGTTACAAAAATAAAAACCACCATACATTCGTTATTAGCGTTCGCTTCGAGATGCAGATTTTCTTGTTTCCCAGAAATCCTTGGTTTTCCGATTTTTTAAAAACAACTTTATTGAGGTTAAAAGTTACACACAACAACCTGGATCCAGCTAAAGTGTCCAGTTCAATGAGTTTAACAAATGAAGACAGTCATGGAACCACTACCACAACCAAGACACAGGTCACTCCCAGTGGTCCCCTTATGGTCCTGTTTGCAGTCAATTGCTCTCCCACCCGAGCCACAGGTGACCCCCGACCTCTCTCCTTTATCTATTACGCTTTCTAGAACTTTATACATGGGAGTCATATAGTATGTACTCCTTTGTGTCTGAATTCTTAGAATGCTTTTAAGATTTAACCATTTAGCCTTGCAGGGCTAGACTACAATGTGTTTTATCTACTCACATGCTGTGAATTATTATACATGACATCTGTTGAGTTTACTGTATTTGTGTTTGTTCTGGTTTTAGGCGATCACAATGCTTAACATTCAGGCACACATTTTTGCATGAACATATTTTCACTTCTCTTGGTTATTTACCTAGGAATGGAATTGATGGGTCACGTGGTAACTGTATGTTTAGCCTTTTGAAGACATGCCAAACTGTCCTCCAAAGTGGCTGTACTATTCTATAATCCCACCAGCAACGTGTGAGGGTTCCAATCTCTCCAATCCTCAATAACTAGCCTTATCTTTTTTATCTTAGTCATGCTACTAGATATGAAGTTCTATATCCTCCTGGTTTTGACTTGCATTTCCCTAATGACTGATGCTGTCGAGCATTTTTACAAGGGTTTACTGGCCATCTATACACATTCTTTTGTGGAGCATCTGGCAAATCATTTTGCACATTTTTTTGTTCACCTTCTTACTGTATAATTTATGAGTTAGTTATGAGCATCCTTTGTATGCTGGATACAAGCCCTTGTCAGATATACATATTGTTAATATACCAGCCTATGGATTGCCTTTTCATGTTCTTTTCAAAAGAGCAGAAGTTTTAAAATTTTTATTAAGTCCAATTTATCATTTTTCTTTTATGATTCATGCATTTTGTTCTATCTTTTCTTATACACATAAACATTTTCTCCTATGTTTTCTTCCAGATATTGAAAATTTCTAGCTTTTGCATTTAGGTTTGCAATGCATTTTGAGTTATTTCTGGATGTGATGTGAGATAAGGGGAGGGTTTTTTCCATACAAATATCCAGTTGTCACACCACCCCTCATTTAAAAGAATGTCTTTTCCACATTGAGTTATTTTGGCTCTCATGTCAAAATTTAATTGACAATATATGTGTAGGTCAATTTCGGAACCTCTGTCCTGTTTTATTGATCTATATCCACCCTCATGCCATCATTTTATTAGTATAGTTCTATAGTAAACTTTGAAATTAGGTATTGTAGGCCCTACAACCTTATCCTTTTAAAAAAATTTCTTTGGTTATTCTAGGTCATTTGCATTTCCATATAACTTC